AAGGTCTGAAAATAGATGCTCTAAAGTTTTATTTCTATTTCAGAGCAGTCATTTCAGAAGTTTTAATCTTTTCACAGGTACTGATTAATGCTTTTCAGTAAGAAAAGATGGAAACATTAAAGGATTCTTGTGATTTTATAACAACTGACAGGCATGTCAGGCTTTTTAAAGATCGGGACTCTGCGATCGGCCTGAAACTTTCCATCGGTGCTCCTCTATAAAAGAAGATATGCCTCCGTTTCAGAAATGGACCCATACAGGGTTTTATTTAAAAGGCTGATTATTTCTACAGATGTTTTTTGATTGATTCATAAAGTTGATATTTCTTTTTCTTTCTCCGTTAACATGGTAAAAAAATGACATAATGGTTAAAAAATGTTACACAAGTCTCAGTTTAAACAGAAAAAATGAAAGATTTTTAAGCAAATCCAACAAAATAGTAAATTGCTGCAAATGGAGGGAATGCGAATGCATCCACTTCAGGTGATCTTAAAGCATGGCTGCTGAACGCACCAATTAATCACGTGTATCAGCTGATGTTAATACAACAAAGAAATGCTAATACTGGCCAAAAATATCAGTCTGTCTCTGCTTATTTTTTTGGGACGTTTTTTTCTCTCATGAGGTTCCAGATTCAGCCCACGGGTCTTGAGCATGACCTCTGTGGCGAAGACGTTACCTCAGCGCCGTCCTGTTAATGAAGGCATATATTAACCTATGGGGCCAAAATTGTTGCTTTATTATTTACAAATGTGTGTGGAGAGTTGTATATCTGTATCTTGATTTGTGCGTGTGCAGGGGGATTTGACAATGTGTAAATGAAACTGTAAATGTGTGAGGAGATTTGTGTGTCTGTACAACAATCTGCGGGGTAAGAGAAAAAAAAAACAATCTAGTTAGAAGTACTATAAATAAGGCATTTGCCGAAAAACGGCAGGAAAAATACCAAAAAAAAGTGACGAGCCACCGGAACTGCTGCAACGCAGCCACTGCCACAAATTCAGCTCGGCCCTGCTGCAGCCTGTGAGCCTCCGCCCAGGGCAGCAAATCCAGATATTACAGATACAAATCCTTTTACGCATTTGTGCATCTCACACGGCAGAAGTGTAGCAAAAATCACGTGTGAAAAGAGAGCCAACGAGAAACCGCTGGACTTGTTACCAATGATGTGTCTGTATTTCTGGGTGTTGAAGCGAAAATACTTCGGACACAGCTGTCTCTGTGTGTGCTTACAGATTGTTCTACACATTTGCAAATCTTACTACAGATTTGTAGATCTGAAGACAGATTTGTGGATTTTTTGCACATTTGCAAACCAGATTACACACACACAAGTAGTTTTGCACATTTGCAGATTGTTGTACAGACACACAAATCTCCTCACACATTTACAGTTTCATTTACACATTTTCAAATCCCCCTGCACACGCACAAATTGAGATACAGACACACAACTCTCCACACACATTTGTAAATAATAAAGCAACAATTTTGGCCCCATATTAACCCATCATAACTGCAGGGTTTTACAGGCTGCCTCTGACTCACAGGGTCAACACTGGAAAAATGATCTAGAAATAAATACAAATGTCTTAAATTAAGTGTATTTATCCTTGATTTGAGTAGGTAAATGAGATGATTTTTACTCTTAAAATAAGATTATTAGATAATATTCACTTGAAAGAAGACAATGCAATTGTTTTTTCTTATTTTAAATCTAAAGTGTCTTGTTCCATTGGCAAGATGTCTCTTTTATCTCCTCAATTCAAGAACAAATGCACTTATTTTAAGAAAAAATAACTTATCTAGATTTAGATTTTTTTTGCAGTGAATATGTGAGTTTTCTATTCTTCATTCTCTGAGTTTTAGCTTCGTTTTCTTCGCATCCCACCAGCCTTTGCTCTTAGAAGTGATGAGAATTGTTTTTCAGGCTCAATGGCGTAACAACACAACAATAGGCCCGTAAGCAACATTATCTGGGTGGGCCCCATATGAAGTACAACACTCTGGATTACCCATAATTCCAAGTCGTATTGTTAAAAACTTGAATACTCAAATACATCATTATTTTAATATCTCTATTGCGGTTTGGAACATATTATATGAATGTATTTTTTTTACTAACCATCTAATGAACTAACACAGTTAATAACATAGTAATTAAAAGCACCACTGTCTGCTTTGGTATTCGTGTCATGTTTCTATGGCAATCAGACGTCCTAGTCCACAATTGCGAAGGGGGCCAACCAGGTGTCAGTGACGGGGCCCCTAAGAGGTCAGGGGCCCGAGAGCTACTTTAGTTTCTGCTTCCGAATATTTATACCATTGTTCAGGCTGCAGGATGCGTTTAAAGTTATAAGATTGGATGAGATGAACAAACCTGGATACAGATATTGGTGTAATACCTTTCTAGGCCACTGGAGGGAGACAAAGAACGTGATGTTTTGGGCTTATAGGATTATTCAGAAAAATGAGGAAAGAGCAATATGAGTGGGAAATAGTTTTCATCTGTGACTCATTGATCATTTAAATAACAAAATAAAAAGATTCCACCTTTTTCTGTTTTTACTAAGAAAATATGTAAATAAAATGTAGTTCCTGCAGCAAAGGCTGTACTTTTAATGACATTAATTAACCAGAATCAGAATTGCTTTATTAATCCCTTGCGAGAAATTCTTTATGAATAATATTTAATTAAATGAATATAAATAAAAATCCTTATTTGCTATAAAAAATTTAATGAAAGCTTTTTATTCTCCATCCAGTTTCTTTTAAACGGTTCATCCTGAAGGTTTTCTATTCAGATTAAAACATGCAGGAAAAACTTTAGAAACTAAAGTCTGAAACATTGTGGGGCGTTTAAATGTAAAAAGGTTTACAAAAGGGGAAAAATGTTTATTTTCTAATAATTTTTAAAGATTTTTTTTTATTTATAATTACAGATTAAATACGTGACAGCAAATACGACCTTAACCGTTCACAGATTTTGGTAGTTTGACATTAATCTCCCTGATATCTGAAGCCTAATTTTCATCCTATATAATGTTTTTATTTTTCGTCCTTTTTTTATTATATTGTCATCTTCTGGTTTTGGTCATTTAGGGGAGGAGGTGGAGAATCACAGGCCTCTATATAAAAAGTTTGAAGTCAGATTTATGAAAATGTAGCTGACTGCTTGTTGTTCCAGACGAGTCCAAAATGATGGAGGCAATGGATGAGAAAGAAGACGCCACTGCGGCGTCCAACGCCACTGCGGCGTCCAACGCCACTGCAACATCCAACGCCAGTGCAACGTCCAACGCCAGTGCAACGTCCAATGTCACTGCGGCATCCAACGTCTCTGCAGCGTCCAACGCCACCGAGGAAGGAGAAGAACTCCCTCCAAAGGTGAGAGTTCACGAGAATGCTGGTTTAAAACTGAGACAGAAGGAAAAAAGACAATGAATGCCTTAAAAAGCGATCAACAATCCGGTTGGATGTAACCTTTGCTGAGTCGCTCTCTGCGTCATCCGCTGCTCCTCTGTCTCCATGATGCGACGCTGCAGCTACGATCCCATGTCCTCTGAGCCCTCCGCAGCTGTGGGCGGGTCTTTGTGTTGTTGTGAGGACAAACTTGACCTGTTTCAGAATCCAAACTACCAACATCTGTCAGACGGCTGTTTCTGTGACCTCTGACCCCTGGACATTTGACAGCAGGGAGCAGACACGGCAGCCCAGCTGCTTCTGATTCGGTTCTTGATTGGTTAGCTGTGGCGACCCTTCATAATAAAACACTTCTAATTTAAACAACTTGTTGTTTAAATTAGACAACTTGTAAACAACAACTTGTTGTTTAAATTAGGGTGCGTTCACAGACAGTTGGAAATTAGAGATTAGAGAGTAGTTGGAGAAAGATTTTGGTCTATTTACAGTCAGTTAATGTTAAGTTCATATCTGGGACCCTTGGTTTAAGGTTTGTTTTTTGTCGATGCGTGTCTTCAAAATGCTTTTTAAAAACAAATCTGGAAAGTGCGGTGTGCATTTCTTGTAGAACCACCTTCTGCTTTGATTACAGCTGTAAGTCTTTGGTGCATTGTCGCTATGACAGCACAGAGGATGTCCACCATCATCTATTTCTGAGGCTTGGAAAATATTCCAGTGAGTTTAGGTCTGCACTTTGACTAGACCAGGGGTCACCAATTAAAAATCAGCAGGGTCCGAATAAAGAAAATCCTCAACCAGAAAAGGTCCGGAGACATTTTTTTATTATAATCTGTTACTTTAAACAGAATTTAACACTGAAATAAAATCAGGTTTTTATGCATCACTGTTAAACAATGTTAGACTTTTGAAATAAAAACATAAAAATAAAAAAATAAAATAAAAATTTTCCATTTTTAAATCTAAAGTGTTTTTTGAAGTAGAGAACAACAATCCTTTAGTTTGGTATATAGACAATTTCCTGATTCACAGAGAAGAAGAAGTGACAAGGATGCTGCAAATGGAAAGTCACTCGATCAATAGACAGAGAGGTTTGCAGACATTTGAGGCCGAGTTTTGACGCCAATTTTAAAATAATGTTTGTCAATGCAGCGGAGGCATCAAACAACTGTCAGGGAGTAAAGAAATGTGGAGTTACAGAGTGATGGGAGAGAAGGCACGCTCCAAAAGACAAGAAAAATGCGATTAACACAAGACAGCTTATCAAAAAATAGCAGAGCTGCAGGTGAGAGTAGAAGTGACAGCGAGCGCAGCGAAGCAGAGGACGTCTGTGAGTATAAAGGGCTGCTTATCCTCCCGCAGCAGTGTGTCGCAGTGAGCTTGTCGCAGGTATTTTTGATTTGCGCCCAATATTGAAGCATGGTCTGCGCTATGCTATTCCACGCCACAACACAAGAGGGAGTCGACAGTCACCAACTAGCTGTGGGTCTGGATACGGCCGAGGTGGTGGGGGCAAGTTTGTGCTGCAACGGAGGGACATGAGAGCAAAAAAGTGTGAGGATCCAGGTGGAAAAAGGGTCCCAGCGTTCTCGCACACCTCGCTCTTCTAGCTGCTCCATCTTCATGAGTCGTTTTCCACAATGGCGGTCATAAAAACAAAACAAGCCGGTAAGGTATCAAACAGCCAAAACACGCAGCGCCATGGTCAGATTTTAGGGAACACTCACGGGTGAACTGTGTGTCACTGGATGCCCGTATACACGCTTCAAAATAAAAAAAAAATATCTGCTTCATGCCTGCGACAAGCTAACTGCGACACGCTGCTGCGGGAGTATACACAGCCCTAAACCTCATGCAGGTTTGTGAGACGTTCAGGAGCTAAGTTCAGATTGCATTTGAGTTGAAGTGTTACGAGATTTCAATTAAATTTAATTACACAAATCTTTCAGTACAATATTATTTCAATGAAATTCTTAGCACTTCAATATGAAATAGTTTCTTTAAACCATATAAATAATTTTTTTCTTATAATTAGGGGTGCTCCTATATTGGGGTCAGTACTGTTGGTTAGTCAGAATATTCTGATCCAGATTTCAAAGGATTGTAATCCAGTGAACGGATGTTTAGGCTGATTGACAATTCATTAGATATGCATGTAAATGTTTGTCAGGGTCAAGTTAATCTGAGTGGCTAATTTGTGGTTAATGGAAACTGTCATGGCCTGTTTGCCCTCTACAGCTCCCTCTACAGGAAGCAAACAGCAACTGCAACCACACAGAAGAAAGCACAACGGAGGGATCAGCTAAGGCTGCAGAAGTCCCTGCAGAACCACAGCAGAGTGAAGGTAAACGCTGGATCTGAGGCGTGGACCTTCGTCTGCAGGATTAGCATTTAATGAATCTGGTTTAAACGAGTTTCCTCGTTTCTGAAAGCCGGTGGTCATCTTTCAGAACCTCAGTCTCCAGAGGTCGCCGTCACGCCACAGAAACCCAACGGTGGACCCGTAGTCATTGAAGCCGGCAACAGAAACCTAGCCAGTGAGAAGCTGGAGAGGGTCCGCAAGTGGAGCATCAGTAAATACAAGGTGGGCGGAGCTTAAAGTAGCAGGTTTATCCTAGGATAGCAGGTCTGGTTGCTAGCGACGTCTCCTCTGTTGCAGTTTACCCGGCAGGCTCTGGCTGAGAAGCTGGGCAGAGGCTCCCGTACGGTGGACCTGGACCTGGAGCCGCGGCTGGAGCTGCTGAAGGATGACCGGCAGCGCTACGACAACATGACCAAGCTGGCTCAGACGCTGGCCAGTCAGTTTGCTTACTTCTCTCTCATCGAGAAGGCTCTGGGGGAAACCTTCAACGAGCTTAGCTTCAAATCCAAGAACCTCCATGTGAGTCCTAAAAAAACACAAAACACATCCTCCTCATCATCACCACCCTGACTCAGTCAGATTTACCGCGCTAAACTTCACGTAACGCGTCTGCAGGTGGAGTTTGGCATGAACGCCGAGGCCCAGAAGTTTCTGTCCAAGAGCACCGACACTCTCACCTCGGCCATCAACTCCTTCACCTCTGACATGGACACGCTGGTGAACAAAACCATCGAGGACACCATGATCAGCGCCAAACAATACGAGGTTGCCAGGTGGGTGGAGCCTATACACACACCGGATCCTTACACTCAGCTTTCACAGCAAAGAAGCAAAGAGGAGGGGCTGAACATGAGGGCATGCTGGGAAATGTAGTGCATAAGGAAGGAGTATGATAATGTAGTGTGAGCAGCATTTCCACAGAGTCATCAGGATTTCTTTTTAGTTTGATGTAGAAGCTTTATGATATGAACAAACAGGGGTGGATTTACCAATGGGGATAACCAGGCAGTTGCCAAGGGCCCCAAGTTCTTGGGGGCCCATTAAAACTCCTTTCACATGGTTAATAAAGCTACGCTGGAGAAGATTTTCTGTCATCCACGTCATAGTCATTCCAAAAAAGTAAAAAAAACCTTTTCCCTTTTTTGGTATTAATACAACTATTCCTTATTTGTGATCATAATTTTGTTTTTTGATAAAATTGCTTTAGCTAAAATGCCATTAGAAGGCTAACCTGACTCCGCCAGATGGATTTGCTCCGCATATCCATCTTGAAACCTTCCGTTGAAGAAATTTTGGGAAGGGGCGAAAATACTGGTTAGCTGATTGGCCTATGTTGGTGATAGACGGGCCAAATAAACCAATCAGATCAACGAAGNCTGTTTTTACTGGCTTTTTTTTTTTGGTTTTTTTTACTGTGTTTACAGGTGGCTCCGTCTGTTAGCGGTTTTATTTCATCACAACAAATACAAAATAAAAGAGTAAAACATGAGAATTCTCTCTTCCAGTGGACCCGTTTGCTTCCCATAAAAAAAAAAAAAAAAATCTCTGCCCCAGTTTTCAGTCTCTTCAGCCCTGCACATTCAGATAAACGTATTACGGTTAAAAAAATAACTATTATATCTCATAACACAGTCAGAATAGCTGAAAAAGAGGAAACTATTTCCACTGTACCAAAGTTCTACATTTTTGACAAGAAAACAAGCATGTTGACCTCATTGTTATATATTAGCAGCAGTGCAGAAGATGCCCTCTGAGGGGGCGCTTCTCTCTACTCACAGGCCAAACGGAAATATTATTAAAAAAATGACAAAGGACTTTATTTCCTCACTCATTAAATGTACAAAGCTGATGTTGTTAGAAACATTTTTAAAATAAAGTAATGCACTTTACAAAACAGATTAAATTACCTTATAAACCTATGATAGTTACTTGTTATCAAATGTAAAAAACATAATTATATAGCCTAAAATTCAAATTTATAGCAACCAATTATTTATTCCTGTTAAAGTAGATCAGTGGTTCCAAAACGTTTCTTGCTTGGTCTCCCTGTGATTTAAGTGTTCACTACCCCTCCAACCAATCATTTCCATGTCTGACCAAAGAAAATTTTACTGCAGTAAAACATTGCAATAGAATAAACTAAAATCTCCTTTAAATCGCCGAACTACCACTTTCAAAGATCTGAGTGAAGTTAGCCCCCCCACCCTCTTCAAATTAGACAAAATTTATGTGCTACGTTTGTGCAGCAAAAATGTTCGTTTGTGCCGCTATCGTTTTTTTACAGGTTAAAATGATATAATCATGGGTTAGCAACTTATAATTTATATGAAATTCAGAGTTTCAGAATGAACAAATGTTCACTGACCTTTGATGGCTTCTACAATTGACACCCATTTTGTCTGATTTGAAGAAGTTGGGGGGGGGGGGCTGGTTGACCTTTGATGACATCTAGAAAACATTTCTTTATATCTTTAAAATGATAGCGGCACAAACAAACATTTTTGCTGCACAAACGTTTGACACCAATTTTGTCTAATTTGAAGAAGGTGGGGGGGCTGGTTGACCTTTTGACCTTTACATTTTCATTAATATCTTCAAAGCCAAAGCAGCACAAATGAAAATTTTTGCTGCACAAACCAGCACAAACGGAGCTGAGTTAATTGACACCCATTTCCTCTGATTTGAAGAAGGTAGGGGGGCTGGTTGACCTTTCATGACCTCTAGAAATATTTCTTTATATCTTTAAAACGATAGCGGCACAAACGAAATTTTTTTCGGCACAAACGTAGCACACAACGTCTGACACTAATTTTGTCTGATTTCAAGAAGGTGGGGGGGGCCAACTTCACTCGGTTCTTTCAAAGAGGAATTATTTTTAGTTTAATTATCTATTCCATGGTGTGTCAGAATTCCAAATTGCTATCAGTGTGTGTATAGTTTTAATTTCTTCTTAAAATTTGTGGTTTATGGAGTTATTTTGTACCATTCTCTTCCTGCAATTACACTAATCCCCCCCTAGGGGGAGGTGTCCCCTCTTTGGGAACCACTCATAGATATTTGAGCGTGCTGTGTATTAAAAACGATTGTATTCATATTTTGAATGTAGGATTATGTAGGCACTGTAGGGATAAACATCAATTTATAACATGTTCAACGCTGTGAGATTATTAATGGCTTAAATTTTTTGTTTGAGACTATTCCTTTAAGACTTTTTCGGCTTGTTTACATGTGGTGAGCATAACTGGTGGAAACTTTATCTGGAAAACTAAAATGACTTGGCAGGTTTTCTCAATCCTTCGCCACTGATGTCTGTTGAGGAATGTTTAGAAACGTAACGTTTGTGCTCCTTTTTCCCACCGTGTCAACCCTCTGACGTCCAGGATCGAGTACGATGCGTACCGAGTGGACCTGGAGGAGCTGAACATGGGCCCACGGGACGCCAACACCCTGCCTAAACTGGAACAGGCCCAGAAAACCTTCCAGGGCCAGAGGGAGCGGTACCAGAAGGTCCGAGACGATCTGTCCGTCAAAGTCAAGCTGCTGGAGGAGAACAGGGTGAGAGGGTTATGGCCTGATGGACAAATACAGTCACTCTACCTGTTTATTGGTTATTTAATGTGAAGGGATTCAAATTAAGCAACAGACCTGACCTCTACCTCCTCATTTGTCTGTCAGGTGAAAGTCCTCCACAACCAGCTATGGCTGCTCCACAGCGCCGTCGCCGCCCACTGCATGTCCTGCCACAGTTTTCTGGAGAAAAACATGGAGCAGGCAGTGGAACACCTCAACAACTCTACTGAGGACGCCCCCTCCTGGCTGGAGGAGAGTTGACACTCTGTGGGATCAGTTTAAGTGACTTTAAGAGGGGTGCAAAAGGCTCTGGTGGCTTAATGCTCTGGACGCTGTTAGTTTGAAGAAAAGTAATTTATTTCTGGGTCAATGGGACATTTGGGTAATTGTAAAATTAAAAGTTCTTGATTTTTGAATTATTTAAGAATGTATTTTGTGAAGAAAGCGGAGCGTTGTTGAAAACACGGCCCTCTTTGTTTCCTGGATCCGTCTCGCTGCGTCGTTCACTGATTCCACCTAATCCTTTGTGAGGCACTAAGCTTTTCTTTGAACTTTAAAAATCTGCTGCCGCTGCAGTCAGAAACTCACAAAAGGTCCCTGAAAAACACAGCTGGAAAACAAGTCGAGAGTGGATTAGCGGATCTGAATCCTCAGCCGATTAAAGCCCGCCCTTCTGTTTACGTTTCCCTTATTGGAAAACTAAACATTCACACAGAATTAATTTGCTACTTTTACCTCTAAAAAAAACACAGAAATACAGCTTTTAAAAAATTAACCCAAAAGGAGAAAAGCCATTCAAAGTATATGAATAAATGATGATAGAGGGAAATTATATTAATCCTGAGCGGAAACACAAGGGAAGTAAATGTTCTGTTAGGAAATATCAGAACCTGTGAATCCAACTTCTCAGCTTTAAAACCTTTTTTCTTTTTGACCACTAGTGGTTTATTTTATACCAACTCTTAATGTACAGTGGATTAAAGCCATATCTCAGCTGGACTTCTTTGATGCCAAAGTTTTGAGGTTTATTTTCAACTCGCTAGGATCAGATTTAGCATCGCTAGCGCTCATCTAAGTGGACCAAAGACTAAAATCTATCTTTTTGGTCGTCTCAATTCTTGAATATCTTCTTCTGACATCCACCAGAAGAAACATTGCTGCAGGATTTTCCACAATGTTTTATAATATATCAATACTTTTTTTTGTATCCACTTTCTTGAAGCTTTTCTACTTCAATGTTTCATTCTGTAGCCAAATCTTATCGATGAATCTCTTTAACCATCAGAAAACTGCACAGCTTCTCGCACCTTTAATAATTATTGGATGTAAGTTTGAAAAGTTTATTTTCTTTATTTGTTCTAGATTAGTTTATCTGGTCTAATATTAAAAAGATGCAGGTGATTATTTGCTACAAACCAAAAATCGGACCAAAAATTTCACTATACGCTGACGATGTTACCGTCTTTGTAGCTTGATAAAGGTTTACTTTAACAGCGGTTTTCCGTATAATTGGGAGAAATAATTTCTTTCTAATGTTTCATTAGACAATCTATTAACTTAGTAGGGGAAAATGAAGAGTTTATGCCTTGAGGTTAGGTAGGCCTTCCCTGGATGAAGCCCCTTTTATGGGTTTTGTGAATTCTAAGAATGGTTGGTTTGCAGCAAATTTTGAAAACTTTTTAAGAGTTTAGACAATCCAACTGCTGCCATAACTACAGCATGTTTGTTTTTGTCTTAAAAACAAAACCAGTGTGAGTGGTTTTGTTCAGTTACCCAGCAGGACACTTTGGGAGCCCCTTCCAGCAAAGATCCCATCAGCTTACAGTTGCACCATGGCCTTGGTGATCTAACACAATTCTCTTTTCGACATTGCTTAAAGTTTGGCTCAGAGCTTGGTATACTGTTCATTTCAACACTCTAGCTTTAAGTTTCAGGAGACTGAAGCACCCCTTGCATCATTAAGGACGTGTTTTAGAACCTCTGTGGATCTCTCCTGCTCTAAACTACATGATGAAATCGCCACTATATCCTTATGTGCTGAAAAACACCGTCCACGTTCAGGTGTTTCTATCTTTTTGTAATAATATGATGGCCCCCCTTGGCTCTTTCTCATACAGTCACACTCTGCTTGGTAAATGGCTTTACAAGGCTTTCTCTGTTTGGGAATATATTGTTGTTTTATTTTCTTAAGACCAGGATGTTATCTGAGCAATTTTTCTTTACTCAAACCTTTGAAAGGTTTGCTGAAAAACTGTGCTTTATATGTCTGGGACCAAATGGAGACTCGGATATTTATGATTTATGTTAAAAGTTAGGGTTTATTTAAATTGTTTTGCAATCTAAGTTGTTTTGCTTATTCACTTGATTTCAAACTTGAATCTGCTTTACCTGTAACTCATGATAACTGATTATTTTCTTGTTGTTCCTGTATTCATATGAATGTTATTCCATTTTTTTTCTGGTTTACCACAAAAAAACTACCATCTATGCAACGACTGTGGATCTTTTTGTGCAATAAAGTTCCAGCTTAGTGATGCTTAAGCTGCCAGTTTCTGACACCGAGCTGCCTTAAATAAATGGCACCTTATAGACGAGATTAGATTAGATTTATAGGTTATAAAGGTGCAGTCAGAGAGGGAATCTGGCAGATTTAAACTGCTTGATTCTATTTTTTTATATAATAAAATGTAAATCCCAAAGATTTTCTGGAATACTTTGTCATTGGTTGATTTTCTTACATTCTTGCTTCAGTATAAATCACTTTTCAAATCAAACTGGGGATTTGTTTGTCTTTCTTTGACACCTGAACTTATTTTGCAAAATAAATTTTTTGGTAAAATGTTGATAAAAATATTTTTGAACAAATTATAATATTTTGTCTTTTTTTTATTAAACCTTAGGGTTGAATCTTTTAAGCTTTTCATCATATCTGCTTTTTAAAACATGCATAAAAAGTCATCTGTGTGGCACATTTCTGTTGTTTCCCTTAATCTCAGCTTTTTAAAGGGTTCATCAGGGTTATTGTTTAACTGGTTGAAGCAGCTGATCCGCCTGTTTGCTTTGGTATTTTACCCTGATAGGGGTTTTCATCCGGGTAATTTATTTTTTTCCAAAACAGTTTTGCAGCATCGACAGCAGGAATGGTTGTTTTAAGGAATTTCTAGCATAAGCTGTGGATGTATCTGTATCATTTCCTGGATACACTTAGCAGTAAGATATGAAAGAAAGGAGACAAGAATGCACCATTTTTTGGGTATTGATGTGTTTATCCTGCTAAATGCACTTTTTCCATCAGCTGCATTATAATGTTAAACTTAGCTGTTAATCTCACTGGTTTTCAGGTACTTTCCGCTATCATACAGTTTGGGTTTTTCTCCCCCCTCATCCTAGCTTTCACTTTGACGTCTAAACTGCACTGCAAAGAAAAAAAATCAAAAATCTTTTGGTGTGAAAATGGGAACCTACTTTCCTGAAAGTGGCTAAATAAATGCAAACACCCCCTCCTGTTTCCTAGAAGTCAAGGATCATTTAAGGAGGTTCCAATTTTCCCAAACTGTTACGTTTGATTGAGAGTGAAATAGATTTGCTTTAACAGTATTTCCATTTGCTCTGTGCTAACAGCTCCCTTTAGATGTTAAAGCAGTTTTACAGGGTTGCCATGATAAACCGTTTTCTCTTAGGGAAGAAAAACTTCACAGAGAGGTGGATCTAAAAAATAAATGACTTTCTTTTGTGACAACTATTTGAAACCTTACAATTTAATCATTATTCCTAATCAAATGTTCATCATTTGTACTACACATTAAGATATTAGTGCTTTTAATCTTGTTTCTTCCAAAAAAAACAAAACAAGAAATATATATATATATATGAAATATAGGTTTAAAATCACATTATAATACAACACCATGAAGAAAATAATATATCTAACATTGTCTAAATCTGTCCTTTTGGTCTCTGATGGGGAAAGCAGGCGTCTGAACACAGTAATTATGGGGGAGGTGGGGGCTCTACTCTACAGTACAACACAGAGACAAACAGTCAGTAGTGGTCAACATTAGTACTTGAGTAAAAGTATTGATACTCATAGTCAATCTTACTTAACTACAAGTAAAATTTACTTAATCAAAAATCCACTCAAGTTAAATTATTGAAATACTCACTGTTGAAAATGCTTAAGTATTTAAAAGTACATGCATTTAAAGCTACAGTGTGTAATTTTCAGCGACATCTAACGTCCAGACTGCAGACCGCAGCAACATGAACATCTCCCCCCCACCGCTTCTCCCCCCCAACAGTACGGCGAGCGTTACGGGACAAAATGTCTTCCACGACGTCCGCATCACCTACCTTCTCAAGTGATGAGGTTTGTTTACATAGATAACTTTACAGATAGTATTTCATTAGTCTGTGTAGGGTATAGATTTCATGTAGACTTAAGATAATAAATATACCCGTAATGGGCGATCTCGCAATCTCTAGTTTGTTGGCTCTGCGCTGCCGTAGCGCAAAGATGTCTGCCTCCATGGCTGCGAGACCCGCTCCTATGTAATTATAAATAACGAATTCTAAGGCAACGCAAATATTAAGGTTAAGAGGCTGAGCTCGTAGATGATGATAAATAACATAGTTATGTATAATATATTACATTTCTGACTGTATATCCCTGTAATTATTACACACTGTAGCTTTAATATTACTGAAGTAATTAATAATAAGAATTAAGTTTTTGAATATGAGTACATTTCTGTATATTTTTCAGATTAATTTTAAAGAACCTTGTAATTTTCAGAAACACCCTGATAAATTCATGCATAGAACCTACTGCAGATTCATCACCTCCTGGAAAGAACTTCGGCATAAAAGCGTCCCAAAAAATAAGGGCAGTTATTTTGATTATAACTTTGTATTTGGAAACACAAAAAAGGAAAACAGGAGTGTCCCAATCCTCCTCACACTTCACTATAAGATAGAGGGTTAAGGTTTAATCCATTACCACAAATAAACTGCAAATCTGATTCTAGATCTCATCCTACTAAAAAACTTGGCCACATGGCAACAATTGCCGCCTTAATAACATTCTCAACTACTAATATCTGCTCTGAGTTTCTCACATCTGTGGAATGTCTTGCAAATCTCTAAAACAATAGTGTCCAATTTCACTCCTACTGGGCTGCTACGTGTCTTGATCGTTGAAATTGCATTAAAATAAAATAGAAACAGTGGATTACAGAGCTAAGCTGAGCCAAAAGGAACAAGCAACTTCCTAGTAATGTAGTGGAGTAGAAAGGACAATTTTTGACTCTGAAATATATTGGTACCCCCACAAAAGAAGGACTCAAGTAAAGTAAAGGGTACTCAAAAAAAGTACTTAAGTACAATAATCAAGTAAATGTACTTTGTTACATTCTACCACTGCAAACAGCCAACTAGAAAGACCCATGCTGGGATTCTAACACAGGACCTTCATATTCTGAGCAACGAGTTTCCATTTATATCACAATGCAGCCCTAAAGATGGTGTATTTGAAGGTAAAAACAGTGAAACTGATCCGTTTTGAGGTTCTGCAGGTTGTTTGTTCACTTCAGAGATTGCTTCCTGCATACTCTGGTTATAATGAGAGGCTATCTGAGCTTTTGTTGCCTTTCCATCATTTTGAACCCGTCCCTCTATTTTCTGACATCAACAAGGTGTTCTTTACGCCCAGAACAGCTGCTCTCTGGATGTCTTCTCTTTGT